CAGGACCTCATACAAGTTACGTGACGAAGTGTGGCACATACATATTTGGTGTCTCCTAAAGCCAATGTTCATATGTTTAAATAAATACATTTATCAAAGAAACGCTCGCTGTTCAAAAAATAGAAACTTTGATCTAATAAATAATTGTTGCTTCATACTGAAATATTACCACAATGAAAATTATCTATGCATTATACTTTGAAAATCCTAATTTACAGAAACTGAACATTAACGACACTTCTAATACCAAAATAAAGACATATGAACAGTGTTTCAATTATTACATTAGTTTTCATCTCAGTGATATTTTGTGTAAACTAAACTACATGTTAAGATGGTGGAGAAAATTTGTAGCTCAGGTGGATGATTTTGATGGAATTTTGTTCTCTGAGCTTGATGGTTTAGTCATGGAGATTTCATCGTTATTCTAGACGACATCATCAGCACTTCTACCTGAAGCCTCACCACCAACCCATCCAACTAAGAGAACAAAACGCCATCAAAAATGTAAAGATATCTATACAAAAGGAAACTATGAGATTGAAGAAAATAATTTTCAAGTACACGATTTTTTTGTTTACACCTATAATAGATCATAAACAAAAATTTCATTAAGAAATAATTTGTCTAAGTAAATATGATTGAGAAGAAAGAAAAAGTTGATGAATTATTGACAGATCAATTTATTCTATTATATTCTGTTCTCAAATTTCGTTCATTCAAGTTTATGTATTGGTTTTCTTGTTCATTACAAAACTACACGAATAAATTGTTAGATGGTTAATAGTATTAATGAAATTAGGCCAGTGGAAAGAAAAGTGATGAATTTATACCAGTATGATTGAGTATTATTATATTATGAATTTACATGAACTAGATATGGTTCATTATAAAAGAGATTAGAATAATTCAGTTAAGTAAGATACCAAAACATCAGTAAAACAAAATTAATGTTTTGTATTGGTTGTTTGAATCTTTACATTGATGTTTAGGACTGTAATAGATCAGTCTCTTATTGGTATATGTGCATCCTGTGTGGATTGCCTAGATATTGCTTTAAACCACAAGCATGATAAGCAGAGATGGATAGTGTCTAGCATTAGAATCCAGGATGACATTTCGTCCTATTTGGAACTTGTCAATTGGAGGTACTTGGATCCTGGAGTTGATGTTCACTCTGAGACTTGAACTCAGTACATTTCGCTTCAAACGCCATCGCATTATCCACTAAAGCTAACAATGTTAATAATAACTAAATGCATAAATAACACAATTCTATTCTAACACTTGTCAAACTTGTCGTTCAGCTTTCTCCTTTCCTTCTAGTGTGGAAAATGTGACAACGTAAGCTGTTAGGAACCAATGTATGAATAAGGAAGTGAACAAATGAGCATATATGGAGATGAAAATGAGAACCTTTTATCGATCACTAAATCTAAACTCTAATGTAATCACAAAATTTGATATGGTCCGTTGATATAATATATATAAAATCCAGGCCTTTTTCAGGTGAAAGAGATTGGATATTCGCAGTATGAATTCAATTTGTTATGTTAAATTAGTAAGCAACTAACCAAATATATAATTTAGTAAATGTATAATATCAAATTTTCTAATGGTATAATTATCTGACAAACTAGTCTCATCGTCATACGTACTATTTGACCTGAAACAAACAGGTGGGCAGACATAGAAATAAGAGAATACTGACAAGTGTACCAAAAATAGTCAGACATGAATTGGGGTCATAAGCACTACGGGTGATCTTTAGTCACCTTGTAGTATATATATATATATACCACATGGATTGGTAACATAATAACAATTTACAACTCAGTTAATTTATTTTCCGTAATATTCAAGACTAAGGTAGGGATAACCCTTTCATTTCATAAATCACTGCAAAAATCAAAAAAAGTCTTAGTTTAAGAATAAACCACATTTATCAATCCTAATCTGATATAATGTTGAAGGTAAAATGTCTTAGGTCGAAAAAAGCAAACATCAGATATTTAAGCAAAAAAAAACCCCAAAAATAGTCTAATAAATAAGCATGGTAAATAAGCAAACAAGTTATAGTCTTTCAGGATAAAAACAAACACAATAATAGGTGATATATGAAAATAAATCTAAATACCTTAGAGATAGTATATTGTATGACTGAAAAATAAGAATCAGGATACTTGAAGTAGGATGGAATCAAAAATATGACTTTATTATTATTTAAAAGACTAATAAAGCGAAGAAAAACTCGTTTAAGTACAATGCTCTTCAATATATCATTTAAAAAAGAATCGACTTGAATGTCATAGAATGTAATTATGTATATATTCAGTCCTTCATAATCATTTGTTACGTACGTATCTTTAAACACCAATGAAGTTCGATAAACAATTTTCAGATGTTATTCAAGAGTATCCAACAGTGTGTGTAAACAAAATTATGAAAACTTCGGTAGACGTCTTCAGTGGAAAGTTATATCCTAAAAATAGGTAGCGTACTATCAAAAAAGTGTGCGGTACTTGGAGAATACACTTAAATTATTAGAAACAAATCTCAGAACTTCTATTAGTTTAAATATTGTCAAGATGATGAGTAGGACACGAGTTTACTAGATTCCTCAAACTAATCCGCCTTGGTAAGAATCCTGAAACTCCATACAATAAGCGCTTATATGGGACGTGAAAGTCAGATATCGCTACTTCTAGGACCAGTTAGTGCTTACTTGAGACAATACTGGATGTTTTTACTTAATAGTTGGTTAGGTTAGAACAAGAATACCAACTACTGGGTCGAACTGCAATGATCCAACAGAGTATACTAACAGCCTGAAGAGAAAGCCTTGGCTCTTACAGTAGACGCTGTTAGACAGTCGGAAATCGAAACATAAGTCTTCTGTGACTCACAAAGAGCCTTAACATTTTCTAATACATAATTAGTGTATCATTCGAACAATAACAAAATTAAAGTTTATCAGTTGAATATAATTATACATTTCTTCGAGATTCAGCTGGAATAAAAGTGGAACCACGAACGTAAGTTTACTATGATGATTTAGGTGGAGATGAAATAATCCAATGAAACGGACGATGGATGATAAAGCATTACGACTAGAACTGTGAGAAGATAAAAAATAACTTTTTATTACTGGGTATTATTCAAATGTGTAAAACTTTCAAGTTTGAATGGAATTAATCTAACTCATGATGCAACCATTTATTTCTATCGTTAGTTCATTTAGAAATAAACCGAAATTTCAAGTCACGTTTAGTAAAGCAGTCAATCGATATGTCTATACTTTTTCAAAACCGATATCTTGTTTGTTTGATGATAAGACAAATATTTAGAAATAATTTGAATTAGTCAACACATTTTGTTAGCCACACACCTAAATAAACCAAACTTTATTCGGTTGTCGTATATCTTATTCATTAAGGTTATTGGTAACATACAAACACGTCTCGTCACTAGTATTAGTTTGAAAAAAAACCGTCTCCTACTAATCAAGATGTATAGTAACATTATTATTACTATTAAAGATGTAAACATGCACCTGTCACAAGATTTAATTAGAATAGATTGACATTTCTGTCATGTTGAGAGAATTAGTAATCAATATTATAAACCTAGTACAGAATATATCAATCTGTTTTGTTGTGGTAACCTATGTACTCATTTTTGTACTCATCTGAAAAACACAACAGGCCTTTTGGAATAGGTTAAGTATGGTATATTCAATAAAAAAGTTATTTGAATAGTTTTGCAAATTTAATAAATGATCTAGTAAGTATGATCCCCAGTTTGATTAAAAAAAGATCTCCAATTAACATGAACATACTTGTATGACAGGCTAAAGGTTAATATAATACAATTAAGAAACTATTGATCGGTTAATAACAAGTTGAACTGTTATAGTCATGGAGATGTGTAAGATAAAAGAAGCTAGAGATTTCCATTTGTTTAAATATTGAGGGAATAACCTGAACTATCATGGATTTCCCATCCCAATTGGTTTGATTCTTAATCACACTAAAAAGATAAATGTTGAGTGCTAAAAACAAATTCAAGAAATATTGTTATAAATTTCCATAATTTAGAAATGGAACTAATAATACATAACAATAGTATCCCAGAAGACTGATTCTACTAAATTCCTTGGAAATAGTTTCTGATACGAATCTGGGACAATGTTTCTACATTTTTCTTGTAATAACTACCACATTACAGAGGTTAACTGTTTCGTAACCAATACGGTCAAGTAAGTCGATTAATTAGCGACCTTAGAGAATAGTAACTAGTGAACAAGTAACAAGTATTTCCATTACTTTGTGCCGGTTTTTTAGTACGCATATTACATAGCTAGTCTCACTTCCATTGAGCTTTGTAAAATGACCAGGTTAGGGAAATTCTGGGATGAGATTTGTGTTTAGATACATGATAGAACTTTGGACATTTACACTATTATTATCACCTATTATTATTATTATTATTATTATTATTATTATTATTATTACTATTATTATTATCCGATCTCTCAATCATATAGTATTCATAACCTACCCTCGGAGCATTGTACAATACACTGACAGAGAAGCAATTATGTAGTACACAAACGCAGTAACAACCATCAAGGTGCAAAGCTCATACCAACAAATGATCAAGAACATCCATTAGGTCTGAGTATTGTGTAATCAGGAAAAAACAAGCAATGAGTCAATAAATTGAGACAACGAGGAATATTTGTGATTAATTAAGAGAATTTGGAAGATGTGTTTTCTAAAAAGGATGTTTAATTTGTGAGGCTTTTATGGTCTTCCTAAACAACATACTACAAAAACTTATAACAAACTGTTAGTCTCTTGTGAAGAAATATTAACAGCTTGTTTCTGTTTGAAGTATGAAATGATAATAACTCCCAGAAAAAAAGGTGAAGGATTTATGATTAAACCATCCAATTTATAGAATGAAGCACCAAAATAAGAAACTGTGTGTATATTTACCTGAACGGGAGGTGTATTTGTTGTTATTAGAATTGACATTTGATTTTGTTGGACATTTACAGTAAATTTTCCGAAACTGACTGAGTTCTAACTTTTCAACTTGAATAATCCGACCAGGCATAGCCCATGAATTGGCAAATTTATTTGAACTAGAGAAACAATAATGATAATTAGTTATCCATAAATTTCATTCAACTAAATATAAATTCCTCAAATTCAAAGTCAGAAGAGAAACTTAAGGTTCATAGTTCAAAATCATGTATGAATCACTTTGTGTACTATTTATCCGAACAGTGTATAACATAGAAATGGAATTGGTACATAGATCAAGTAATACCTTGTTCATTTTAAAGGACGAATGAGAAGCAAGAAAATCAACTAATTTGATTGGCTGGTTTTAAGCGAATCAGAAACGGAATAATGTAAATCACGTGTTTTACATTAATTTGAAGTGTCCATTTGACTTCGTCAATATTCTGGATTCGGTTTTTGTTTCAGTGAGAAGTGCACAATTTAATACAATAAGACTTGTTTTTTAAAACTTTTTAATTATAATTTAAACCTTTCCAACAAACTACTTTACACCTAGTTACTTCTGAATAAAAGTGTCGAAACTGAACAACACGAAACGTAATATATTTAGGATTTATTAATTATCCTAATCTGATTAGTATCAAACTGATCGTTTATCAATGTTTTGTTAGTTGGATTAAATTGTTATTACTTACTTACTTACGCCTGTTACTCCTAATGGAGCATAGGCCGCTAAATTGTTATTACAACAACCAAAAAATATTTAGTCTTACGAAAGGATAAGTGAACTAGTCAATACTACTACTACTATGTGTGACTTAAATTAATGAAAATCAAACATGTATTTTTCTGATGAAATATAGTCAACATGACAACTTGTTGATTCAATTTTTATTTGTATTTCAATAGAATAACTGGTGTGAGGCATTTTAATGACAAGGTGATTGTATTTATAAATACTTATATTTTTTTAAATAAGAAGTGTAATGATAGTATAAATACAATAATAATACTGCGTTAGTGTTCAAAATTTGGGAGATTGGTGTTTAGAAAGTATATGGGAATGAGTATGTCATTAGTTAGAATTTTAAATTACCAAGTTAAAAGGACAAACACGTTGACCACTATCAGTTGATGATGGTATAGTCTTTTGTAAATTAATAATAAAGAGTCCCATGATAATCTGAATTGTCCTGACGTGAAATTGCACTCACTGTACTATTTGTATTATTACAGATTTTATGTAAAGATATTTTATCATATTACAAATTACAAAGTATTTACATGATTTATATACATATTCTTCAATCGTCCATTTGCATCCTTCGATATTTTCTGCTATCTAAACTGTCCTCTCTTCTGGTCTCCAAGTGTTCTCCCAACGCCGTTCTTCCAATGCACTGAAAGTCTTCACAATCATTGTAATTTCAACGCCATGTTCAGCTATACACTACTTACAAACACCCTTTTTAGTAGCGTCCACTATGCTAGTTGATTTCATTATTAATAATAAAGCAAATTGCTCAGAATAATTAATTTTGGAAATGAAAATTATTTCCAACCAATAGTTCTTTTTCTAGAATGTTTTTATTTACATGTGAGATATCCTGAGATTATCATATCAAAGAGAGTTCATAAAAGATTTGAATGAAACAAGTTTTACTACAACTATTCATCACGAAGTATTAGTTATTATTATTATTATTATTATTATTATTATTATTATTATTTCATTGAATAGTTAATTTAAATAAATGGACAAGTGGTGATTAACGTAGGTTTCATCTCACATAAAATGTATATGTTACCATGTTACAGAAAATGTAACTATAAATAGTATGAATGAAAAAAGATCCATTTTAATTAATCTTTTTTTTAAATAATATATTTCTGTAGAAAGGGGGAATACATCGACGTTGGGTAAATTTCCATGACAAAGTAATTCAGTAAAAGTATTCAGTAAAACAATTTCTTTTTGGGAGAAGATTAATAAATGACACTTAAATTTATCTGAATTCGATTGATTCAAACAATCATGTCTAAAAGTTTAGGTTACACAATAAGTGTATATTATATTTTAATGCAAAAATCTAAATCTATATATCCTTCTTTTTATCATTCATTTATCAACAACAATAAAAAATAGTTAAAAACGAGACTATTCTAATCAATTGCAAGTCAATCTATAGTATAGTATTCATTATCATTAGTGAAAATGTATGTTATGTAATAAAAAAGATGTATAGTGAGTTAAAAATCCATCGCGTGTTATAAATGTTCCAACTTTTTGTAATACTCATTATTAAGGTTGAGTTCATTTTTATTGAAATTTCTGAATATTCATTAGAATAACACCATAGTTGTCATGATAATAAACGGAAAAGATGAAAAAAATTTCCTATGTACGTGTATAGGTGTGTGTGTGTGTGACAGAGAGAGAGGTAGATAGAAGCAAAGAAACAGTGAAACACAAGGCGATTAATTGAAAGCGTAAACAAGATCTGGTGAATTACGAGAAAAAAAAAACCTCCAGTTACAATGGCGCTAATAATCATTTATCATTTATCCAATGGTTAGTTGATTAATTATCGGCAAACATTTATTCTCTTTGCATATTTTAATTAAGGATGAATAAAGATATATAATTTCAGATAGTCAATGTAATAAACACATCTATCAAATAGAATCATAACACCAACGTGTTGGATTAATGAACCAAAATACACATTAACTTCGTTCTGAAAACAGACTTGATTAAAACTACTAAGTGAATGGTTATTCATAGATACATACACCAACTATCTTTATCAAATAGAAATGAAACCAAAAATATTTTTATAAAAAATTAGTTACCAAATCCAGTCATTATGAATGTTAAACTAGATATAAATAGTACTCTTGAATTATGAAACAAAAGAGTTTACATAATTAAATAGTGACTTAGACATTGCATGTGAATGTATATCAGTTGTCTTGATCAGGTTGCTATAGTACAGTATTGATTTCACTTGTCACTATTGATTATTTATAAACAGAGAAGAAAAATTAAATAATTTGAAACAATAAATAATAATGAAAAAAGAACCAGTTTTATAAACGTATTTCTAACGATTGTCCGTATTAGGGTAACCATATGAAGATATTGATAATACAGACTACTTTTTGTAACTTCAAGGTATAAATAATTATTCAGAAATTATACCAACATATCATGAAAACAACATATGGTAAACATATGTAATAAATAGAAATTTACAAATAATTGAAAAGACTAAAATCCTATTGGAAAATATCATCCCACCTCAAGGAATTGTATAGATGGGAAACCAGATAATGTAATCTGAAAAGTCACAGCCTTAATGTAACTTGATACTCATATATATAATCCAAACCATATAAGTAAACACACAACGGTTAGATAAATTCTTAACAAAGCATTTTAGTAACACGAAAATAAAATATCAGTATGGGGTTGTGGAGATTATTAAGCTTTTGATTGAAATCATGAATTGATCGATGTTAGATCACCATTGAAAACCTGGAAGTACCGAATGGTTGTTTCGTTTTATTGTGGGACTACTCAGTAGTGCGCATCCACCAACCCGCTCGTCAGATTCCAATCCATGGCCTTCAGTCTTGCGCAAGAACGCTCAACCTACTAGACCACTGAGACGGTATCCGATGGTGTTAATGTCTAATTTCAACCAATCCACAAAACTGAGCAACCGTCTTCCATTGTCTGAGGTAGATACCTATCACTACCTCAGACAATGGATGATGGTCGCGCAATTTCATGGATTGGCTGAAGTTAGACATTAACAGCGTTGGATGCCGACTCAGTGATCTAGATAATAAGCGTTCTTGCTCAAGATTGAAGGCCATGGGTTGGAATCTCACAACGGGGTCGTGGATGCGCACTACTGAGTAGTCCCACAATAAGACGAAACGACCATTCGGTGCTTCCAGGTTTTCAATGGTGATCTAACATCGATCGATTCATGATCTCAATCGAAAATAAAATAATTTATGAATAATAAAATATTCTGTAATCAGGTTTAGACAGTATTTAACCTTAAAATCTTCCATAAAAAAAACTTATAAAATTTAATTAATTTAATGAAATATAAATGCTCTATTTCACACTGAAATAAGAATTTATTCATTTGTACATTTGTCGGGAATTTATTTCAATGAGATAACGATAAGAGATGAAATATTGTTTTGAATTTTCAAGAGAAAAACAAATTTAAGGATATTAACCATAAAAAATTATCATCGAAATAACCTTAGAGATTGAAATTGAAATAATCTCAATATTTTGCCTAGGTAACTGATACACACTTCTTCAGGGGAATGATTAAAATCAACATTATTAAATAACATTCGACATTTAATATCTTTAAACTGCAGTCAACGTCCAATTTCTGTCATACTATTTGTTCAAATTTTGACGTATATTTATATTACTGATTTTAGCTAGATCATTACTGAAATGCGGTGAGTGCTGGACGGCAATTTTGCCCTCAACGATTTATGTCCACAACTCAATCAGGGATTGAACCCAAGATCTGTAATTTCCACAACAACCAATTTATGAATAACTTAAAGATCCAACTCCTGGAGTTCTAATCAGAAGCTGTGACTGACCAGTGGAGATCAGTCATATTGGGTGTGAGAAAAATATGGTAGTTGCGCAATGACTAGAACCAACTAGTTACAAACGTAAGCTAATTAGATGCTACTTGAATGGTTTAATGGTTAAGTATATGCCTCAAGACCTTAAGGATTTGAATCAAGTTGTGGAAGTATATAGCTGAAAATCTCCATACTAGGACAAAACAGCTTCCATTGCTTTCAATTTTTCAATGGTTATCTAACTAAAGATAGTCCGTTATATATATATATATATATATATATATATATATAGCTTATGTTTGTAACTAGTTAGTTTGAGTTATTTCGCGAACACCGTCCTTAACATTAGTGATATAGATATATATACTCCAAACATTATTAATTTGGGTACCGTTACTTTCAATAAATTTTACGGCAATGGTAATTATTTTATTAGATATCTTTCCGGTCCTT